TAAAGATATACAGTCACATGGTAGCCGGTGACCAACGATTAGCTCATACGCCAATTGTTGCCGCAGGATACTGGAGCCCATGTGCACCATTGGTTTTGGATCCGGTTAATGTGCCGGATATTCGCTTTTCATCCTGTCATTTTCGTAAACAACACCCCCGCCAAGAGGTAGTGAGTAGGGATTCCCTGACAGAGGCTGTATACGCGTGGCCGTGTGAGAGTATATCGAGAGGTAGGGCGAACCCACCCCACTCTCGACCATACCAGGGCATTTGGGGGCTATGTCTTTCTTCAAATGATATTGCTCTACCATGTATATATATATATATATATAACAGTGATATATATGATGGGATCGATTACTGGAGAGGGGTGTATCAGTATCAGACAATGAAGACTCGACGTCAGAGTAGGATGTTTTCAAATTAACGAATACTGTGACCATCATACTATGTTGAATAAAACTGATTATTTTTTTCACTAAGTTTTAAATACATTATATATTGTTCACCGTTTTTTTCGCAAAAGCACCAATTTCCAAACGTTTCGCGAATAATGTACCACTTTACTGCAACATTAAGATAGACAATTGCAAAGGACAGAGTACCTGGGGAACATCATCGCTGAACAAGGAGAATCTGATGCAAACATAAAGGCGAAGGGCCGCATTCGTACAGTCCAAGAACATATGTAACTCAAAGCAATTTCGAAGTCAGGATCCTCAATACAAACATCAAGACAGTCCTACTGTATGGAGCTGAAACTTGAAGAGCTATCATGACCATCGTCAACAATGTATGAGTATTTACAAACAATTGTCTACGCAAGATACTGAATGTCCGTAGGTTGGATACCATCAGCGAGAGCTTACGGTTGAAGAGAATAAACCAACTTTCAGATGTAAAGGAAATTAGGGAAAGTCGTTGGTGGTGGATAGAACATACATTACCGAAATGGCCAAACTGCATCGCGAGGCAAGCCTTAGCTTGGAATCATGAAGGGAAGCGGAAAAGAGGAAGGCCAACGAACACATTACATCGTGAAATAGAAGCATATATGAAAAGGATGAATAACACCTTGAGAGGACTGCCCATGACAGAGTTGGATGTAGAGTGCTTGTGCTCGCGTCACGCTCCTTCCTAAGAGGACAAGCGTAAGTACGTAAGTTTTTATTTATCCAACCATTCCCCATAAGGTTGTAGAATTATGGTCTACTATGATATTAGTACTGCTCTAATAATAGACCTAATCCTAAATTTGTAGATTTGTCATGATATAATTGCCTAATCTATAAGATCTTACGTGGAAGTCACACCATCGACTACACCAACTCACTATATCGTATCAATTACCAATACATGATGTAGAACAAGGTTAGGCTAGAGAAAGAACAATATATTTAATATGAATAGAAGATATAAGGTAACATTCGCCAGAGACCACGCCTGCATGGACGAGCCATGCCATCCGATCAAACCCAGTCCATTCAATTCATTGTTCGCGTCTTCTTCAGTGTTAGGTATTTATCCGCGTTAAATACTGAATATCTATTTTCTGAGTAGTCTCGTGTTCAGCTTTGTGGATTGTGCGGTTATTGTTCAATGCCACTACAAGGTCTCTTGGATATAGCTTTATTACAATCCATAAAGTTTAAAACGTCTTGGACAATTACGTTCAACAAATTTTACCTGTACATGATGACGTTCATTGATTAGAACTTTAGTGAATCACAAAAATCGGTCTTCCTAACTCGTCTCATTCATATTTTCAGGTTCTACTGTCGTCAATCCATCATTATTACGTTGCAAAGACTATAGTAAGGTTGATATAAATAAGTGAATTTAGCAATTTCATATTATAATGTGTAGGAATCTAGGGTTGGTAAATGCCGTAGATTCATCTAACTTGTGAACTAACATGTATTCAAAGAACTTGGAGATATGTTCATATTTCAAATCTTGACACTATGATGGCAATCGAACGAAAAAGATGGTCCCTTCTAACAGGAAATGAAGTTTGAATAGATTTGGTGGGTTTAATGACGAGTTAATTTAGTTAAACCACTATTGTAATCTAGATCTAATGATTGCAGTTTAGTTGATGGTAATATATGATATTATTCTTATATAGCTAACAAAGATAGCATGCTTTCAAATATTTTACTCGAATAAATTAGTAAAAAATATATGAAGGAATCTGTCGCTACATTAAGTCACTTTGATATGTTTAACTGAATTGGCTAGAAATGAGTAAATGTTTCATACGACAACTGTATAAATAAATGGATTAGATAGAAGACATACGCTAAGACCATATGATGATATATATATAAGGTGCGATAAAAAGTAGTTCAAAATCGCTAAACGATAAAATTTTGCGTTAAACACATTAGGTACATATAGCACTTTAGTACGCTTGTAACTGATATGTTGTTAATAAGTTATAAATACTCCATAGCATGTCAATATCACACAAGAATTATGCCGTTCGGAATATCATACGTAGGTTTCTTCAAAGGATAAGATGTCAAATGAAGAATAAACAAATAAATTTTGAGCCTTTTCAGAGAAAGTTCCCTATAAAGTGTTGGTACATTTGTGACTTGCTCATAACCCAAGAAAATTCTCAAACCAGGCAGCAAAATTTTTTAAAGACATAAATAAATAGCGAACATTGTATTGAAATTAAAATGTAATCATATATGACAATCTCACATTTCAATAGCAATCGTAAGATTCTTTAAATCTTTTGTTGCGAGAAAGGAGATAATAAAACTGAAATACAGGACTCTCAGAAGTGAATCCGGGCGCAGACTTGGTATGTCAGAAACTGCAACACCTGAAAATCAACACTTTTCCGGGCCCGGGTATGGTTCGTTCCTGACGCGATTTAAAATTGGATAGACTACGAAACATCTAACTTTAACACCTCAGAGTGTAAAGTAATCCATGTGGGACGTATTACAGATTACGTATGCAACTTAGGTATCTCCTCTCTATAGGTATCCTAAATTGGAAAGAACTAGGGGTGTTGATACAGCATAACGAGAAATCCTAAGCTAACTGCGAAGAAATGCCTTTTGAGCAAATCTCGCACTGGTAACGTTGAGGAGCATTTTCGGCTGATTCGATCAAGGAACTTCAAACATATTCTTCGGAAGATTTATTAGTCCATATTAAATGCATGTAAATTATAGTATTTCCTTCCTGAATCTAAAAAATTAAGGGCACTTTGAACATATTCAACAGCCAGCTATAAAATCAGCTCGTGGACTCAAATTCAAGTCTTGTGAAGAGCGCCTCATTGGAGTAGAGGCAACTAAGGAGTGACCTTCTAATTCCTTACAACATCCTTATCACCTCTAGATATTCTCTTAAACACGTACTTAAGTTTAGTCTCCGCACAAGAGCGAGCGGTAACACCCAGAAACTGGAGACATAACGCAGCAATACGGACTGTGGACTGTGGTAATTAGAAGTGCTTGAATTATAGTACAAACTAAGAATCCCAGAAATAGCGCAATTTATTCAAGAAGTACTAGATAAGCACGAACGAATGTGTTGCATTTGGAATCCGAAATCTAGCAGTCAACAGGTAGAAAGAGATAATTAGTTCACACAAACAGCACAGGACACGCCTACTTCCTAAGATTAGTCAGATGTTGGAAATCGCTGCCTGCTGAGTTAGTCCACGTATTTTCTCAGGAGTCTTTTAGGAGAAAACTTGACATATTCTTAAAGTCTAAGGACAGTTTCACTGAGATATACTAACACTTTTCATTCTCTCTCTTTTATGGTTAATATACCTAGGTTCCAATCTGGAGGCATTTGTGATACACAACTATCGAATATGGAAGCCGTTTAAGCAAAAGTTTCTTCTGTTCCTTCCAGAACCATCTGACCAATTTGTTTCAGGGTTTCGACGCGGTAAATTAAATGTGGCGGATCAAGTGTTTCGACTGAAGGTTAGCGTACATTAATTTGGTTTATTGAAATCTAATGTTGATCAGTCATACATTAGTGGTCGTGTCTATTATGTTAGATCATCAATTTATAGAGCCAAAAGCATATCTATTTCGTGTGGGAATTCATGTTACCTTTACCTCACTATTCATATATGAATATGAGTATACAATTTAAATGTACATACGTTCATTTAAATTGTACACTTCTCAATCAGTCATATGTGTCATTGTGTACTCTTCACTTACTACTCTCGTCAATCGTTTCTCTTTTCACGTTATCCAGTCTAAGTTGTAGTGTATATACTTCAACGTTTATATATAAACGCTGGGCACGACTATAATAGTGATAGTAAGGACAAAAGGCCTACGTCCTGTGTTATTTCTTTTCTCATATGCTTCTATGAGTGTCTATTCTTCTCTTGAATGAGTCAATGGCTACAGAATAGTCGGACTCTGGAGCAATGATAAGGTCGCGAAAATTTTCAGCCTCGACCACATAGCTCCAATGTTGTTTGTGTGCACTCCGGTTGCCGAGTACACAAATTGCCACTTGTGGATAACGGCACGATGCACATAACCAAGCATATGTAGGAGTCTGTACGGTCTCTAATCATCCGTATATAATTTAGTACCTGACTGCAACCAATGTTACCGATTCTTTTATTATCCAGTTCGCAATAATTGTCATAATTTGCCCTAGTTATTAATTATATATGCGGTTTTCATCACGAACTGACATCAGCTATGATGCCGAAACTATTTAGCCAAATGGATGAACGACTTTCGTGGAAAATCCGAGATCTGCTATCTTATACCTGATTGGTTCGTCCACAAACTATAGTCTGGCCAGATTTTCCTTTCTTTTGTGAATATAAGTCTCTACTTATTGATTTCACAATCCAAAAAGCTAGTACTGTTTAACTTAGTTCTGGTTCATTGTATGTTGCTCAAAAGTCCCAAAACTTCCACCCTATATGTCATAAATATTCTACAGAAAAAGTTGTAAAGGAATCCTATTTTCTGAAACTTATCAGTCACTAAAAATCATACATGTATTGGTCCACCGGATTTTTTTATAGGAAATGTTGTTATGAAACATATTAACTTGATGTGATGAACCGCTGTTTCTGGTGAGTTGTTTATGTCAATCAGTGTGCGGTTCATTTATGACTTGGTTATCTAAGTTACTTTCCTCTCGGAATATGTTAAAGTTTACCCTGCTACGCAGTCGACGATTATATGTACTAATTGCAAATACTCATTATATCCTAACTAGATCATCAAACAACTTTAATAAAAATACAGACGATTCAAGGATATGGAAGAATGATATTCTGTTGTATAGAAAACTCGCTTGCTTTTGTATGTTCAACCACTAAATCTGTAATATGATGCACTATCAAACGTCTAGAATACTAAATCACTTCACACTCTTGGTGAATCCCTCACTGGATATATCTGAAGTAAATATAGCAAAGGTGTAAAATTCATCAAATATCACAACCGTAGCCGCTACCTTGGTGTGGTAGCCAGCCTTACCTACTGTAATGATACAGTTGTTCTATGCTGCCTAGGAAATTATTTCTTTTAGATTTTTCCATGCTATGCATGTCGGTTGGAGAACGGTAAGACTAAACCAAACAGATTAAGGTTCGAGGGTGAATTTGTACTACCGACTGTACAGTAGTCTGATAGCCGTTGATTTTTTTCTTCAGGAAACTAGCATTTACAACGATTCTGCTTTCTCACAACGAAAAGTGAGAGTTCGTAAAGATTAACTCTAGAAATTTTATACCTTACCCACTGATCTCTGTCTCTGGTGATAAGGCATTTTTGAAGTAAAAAGCTGATTTGTCTGGAATATCTCAGTCAGTCAGTCAGTCAGTCAGCTACATCGTAGGACCAGGCACATATATGCATCGGTCCAAGTTGCCATACCGCATTATCACAGCAAAATGAACACTGGCTTCATAGACGTGTTTACTTCAATGTGGGTGATATATAGGAGAAAGATTGCATATAAAAGTGTATTACAGGAAGAAAGAATTAGTTCGTAGAAAGAAAGATATGAAGTGATTTTAATCTCTTAGTTTGAGGGAAGACAGAGAGTTTAGACACCTACGACATTGTGATCAATTCTGAGCCATGTCACCAGGAGTCTCCAACCCTTGGTTACGATAGTCACGCGGACCCCAACCAAGTAGTTTGCATCAACCAACATGGCTCAGACTAGAGGTTAGTGTCTTCAAGCACTGATGCCACGTTTTGGTTTGGCCGCCTCTAACTTTTTACCAACCATCCCCAACACCCGTTAGCATTGGTAATCGGTGTTCAGGCATACGCAACACGTGGCCCAACCATCTAAGTCGATGAAGATTCACAACCTCACCAACTAATTTACCATCATTACCTAATACCCTGCGTCTAACCTCAGTATTACTTACCAGGTGATCCCAACAAACGCCAGCAATATTTCTAAGGCATCTGTGGTCAAATATTAGTAGCTTACGGGTGTCTTCTACTCCTAATGGCCATGTTTCGCTGCCGTGAGGTTTATGACTTTTGAGGTACGCCTTTCAATGACAGGCACTGCCTCAGAATCTTGCAGTCTACCGAGTCAAATGCTGCTTTTAAGTCAAGAAAGACCACCATTGTTGGACGCCGGTAAGTATGTTTATGTTATAGGACCTGAAGAACGGTGAATATGTGGTCGATGCAGCCACGACCAGGTCTAAAGCCAGCTTGGTTCTCTCGTGTTTGCAGTCCACGAGTCTTAGTTAGGCGCCTGATAATTATCGAGGCTAGTATTTTAGATACTATATTAGTTAAAGTAATCACTCTGTGGTTGTCACAGGGTGATTTTGACCCTCTTTTATATACTGGGACGATAAGTGATTGCGACCAGTTAGATGGGATAACATCTAACTTTCAGATTTTAGCTAAAATATTAGTCAATCTAATCGCTAAAATTGGACCACCATCCTTAAAATTATCTGGAGCCAATCCATCTGGACCAGCTGCGCTTCCTCGTTTCAGATTAACTATAGCCTTTTGGACTTCAGCTAGGGTTGGGGGACCTACTTCAATGTTCCATTCACATTGTCTGGGAATAAAGGGTAGTTGCAGAATAGCTAAAGGCCAGCTGAACTGTTCTTTAAAATGTTCCGCCCATCGTTCTAAACGTCTGAACTGGGAGCAGATTAGAGTATCGTCTTTTTCCGAAATCAGTCAGTCAGTCAGCTACAACGTAGGACCAGGCACATATGTGCATCGGTCCAAGTTGCCATACCTCATTAGCACAACAAGATGAACACCGGATTCATAGGAGTGGTTAGGTCAAAGGTTGCAATTAAGGATATAGTATAGGAAGGAAGAATTAGTTCGTAGAAAGAAAGATATGAAGTGATTTTAATCTCTTAGTTTAAGGGAAGACAGGGAGTGTATACACCGACGCCATTGTGATCGATTCTGAGCCATGTCACCAAGAGTCTCCAACCATTGGTTACGAAAGTCACACGGACCCCAACCAAGTAGTCTGCATCTACCAACATGGCTAAGATTAGAAGTTAGTGACTTCAAGCACTGATGCCACGTTTTGGTTTGGCCGCCCCTAACTTTTTTCCAACCATCCCCTACACCGGTTAGCATTGCACGTCGTGGTAATCGGTGTTCAGGCATACGTAATACGTGGCCCAACCATCTCAGTCGATGAAGATTCACAACCTCATCAACTGATTTACCATCGTTACCTAATACCCTGCGTCTAACCTCACTATTACTTACCCGGTGATCCCAGCAGATGCCAGCAATATTTCTAAGGCATCTGTGGTCAAATATTAGTAGCTTACGGGTGTCTTCTACTCTTAAAGGCCATGTTTCGCTGCCGTAAAGTAAGACAGAACGGACTGCCGCGCAGTATACTCGTCCTTTTATTGATAGACGGATATCTCGCCTTCGCCAAAGGTGACGTAAGTTGGCAAAAGCCAAGCGAGCTTTTCGAATCCGTGCTGAGATTTCGTCAGACACCAACCCATTACGGCTGATCAGACTTCCAAGATAAGTGAAGTTGTCAACGCGTTCGACTACTTCACTCCCTATCCTTAGTTTAGGTGTTGATGCAGACCAGTCCTGAAGCAACAACTTGCATTTAGAGGGAGAGAAGCGCATCCCAAACATTCTGGCATTGTTGCTTAGTGCTACCAGAAGACTCTGCATTTTGTCAGCGTCTTCACCAAACAGGACTATGTCATCTGCGTATTCTAAGTCGATAAGTGGACCTCCTGGAAGGAGATCAATACCCGAGAATTCAGTCGACGAGAGTGTTATTTCCATCAATAGGTCAATGATGAAGTTAAACAAAAATGGAGAAAGTGGACAGCCTTGACGGACACCACTTGAAGTTGCAAAAGTAGATGACAGTTCACCATAAGCCCTGACTCGACTAGTAGTGTTCGAGTAAAGAGCCTTCACAAGGTTTATGTACTTCTGAGGTACGCCTTTCAATGACAGACACTGCCACAGAGTCTCGCGGTCTACAGAGTCAAACGCTGCTTTTAAGTCAAGAAAGACCACCATCGTCGGACGCCGATAGGTATGCCTGTGTTCTAGAACCTGACGAATGGTGAATATGTGGTCGATGCAGCCACGACCAGGTCTAAAGCCAGCTTGGTTCTCTCGAGTTTGTAGTTCACGAGTCTTAGTTAGACGTCTGATAATTATCGAGGCCAGTATTTTAGATACTATGTTTGTTAAACTAATCCCTCTGTGGTTGTCACAGGATGATTTTGACCCTTTCTTATATATTGGGACGATAAGTGATTGCGACCAGTCAGATGGGATAAAGTCTAATTCCCAGATCTTAGCTAAAATATTAGTCAACCTAATCGCTAAAATTGGACCACCATCCTTAAAGACCTCTGGAGCCAATCCATCTGGACCAGCTGCGCTTCCTCGTTTCAGATTAACTATAGCCTTTTGAACTTCAGCAAGAGTTGGGGGACCTACTTCAATGTTCCATTCACATTGTCTGGGAATGGAGGGTAGTTGTAGAGTAGCTGAAGGCCAGCTGAACTGTTCTCTAAAATGTTCCGCCCATCGTTCTAAACGTCTGAACTGGGAGCAGATGAGGGTATCGTCTTTTTCCGATATAATCTCACTTACACTTGACTTATTAATTCCAGTTTCTTTTATTAGTCTGTAAAGCTGTCTTGTGTTTCCTATAGTCGCCGCCTTTTCCATCTCTTTTGCTTTCGTTACCCACCACTGCTCACGGTCGTTCCTTAGACTTTTTCTTAACCTAGATCTGATTTGTTTTCGCTCTTCATCATGTTCAGAACCTGATGGGACGACTTTGCGAGAATCCATCAGTGTGACAGACCTTGAAGAAATCCACTGGTTCCTTGCAACTCTGTGGTTTAAGTCACTAATAGATGTCACTGCTGTTTCCACAGCTGATTGTATGCCCTTCCAAGCAACATCTGGGTCAGCCTCGTTTTCAGAACTACCTAAGTGTGACCTCAGTTGTTCCTGGAACCTACTTTTGGTTTTCTCGTTACTCAACTCAGTTCTAACGGGTCTTTTTAATGTGGCTTTTTTGCGTCCAGTGAGGCGCAAGCAGATGCGTGCCCGTATTAGGGCATGGTCGGAGTCCAAGCAGGTACTCCAGAATGAGCGACAATCTTCTACCGACCCTCTCCAACGATGACTGATGGCAATATGGTCTATTTGAGTCCATCGTTGGTTTGGTGTAGGGGGTCGCCATGTTAGACGATGTCTCTCCTTATGCTTAAAATTTGTGTTTGCTAAAAATAAACGATTGTCTGAGCATAGCTGCAGCACACGATCACCATTATCTGTTCGCTGAACCGGAATACTAAAATATCCACCTAAATGCCTTTCTGTTTGGTTTAAACTACCTATCTGAGCATTAAAATCACCTGCTACGAGTACTATGTCTGAGCGTTTAGCTTTCTGAAGAAGTTCAGAAAGCTTTCTGTAAAATTCATCTTTCACTTCATCTGAGCTGCAGTCAGTGGGAGCGTAGACAGAAACGACAAAAAGGCAACGACGTGTGTCCCTATCCTTCCGAGTTCTTACGCAGCCGTTCAGCCGAACAGCACATAGACGACTGTTGACGGGGATCCACTCTAGCAGTGCTTGTTCGGCCCTCATGCTTAGTGCTATGCCTACACCTGCCAGTCCACGAGAACTGGCCATCGGGTCACCAGATACACGAAGGGTGTATCTCGTTGGCTCTCCGTTCTGCCGAGGTGAGGTCAAGTGAATGACCACACTGGGATCCTGTATGCGTGTTTCAGAGACACAGCATACATCAATGGTAAGAGACTCTAGGGTTTTAGCCAAGGAAGCCTGTTGACCGATTTGACATAGAGTGCGTACGTTGAAAGCTCCAATGTGTAGTTTGGAGCGAGGTTTCAGTAGACCTGGGACAGAGTTTTGAGCACTAGAATCGTTGGCTATGGTGACACTTGAAGAGGAAGCCGAAGGAGGAAGTTTAGGGTTGAAAGTCGATGTAGGAGGAATAATAGGAATTGAAGAGGAAGGTTGATTATGAATACAGTGATCTTGGGTGCTGTTAGAGGTATGAGGGCGGTTATCACTTCCCGGTTGCCCACACCGAGGAAGGGTTCTTCTGGAGGTACCTGAAAAGGAAATTGGATTAGAGGTGGTCTCAGTGACCTGAGAGCGTGACCGCAGTGCCCAAGGGACAACTGCTTGAGGCCGGTCGCGCACGGCCTATTTATGGAAGGTTTTCGACGTGTTAGCTCCGTTCTTCAAAGGGCCTTACCGCCGGAGACGGAGATCCGTGAGGTAAGGTGAGGTGTGCATTTTTAGGGTCGACCTTTTCTAACCCCACCCCTCCTTGTGGGAAGGCAGCATCGCTGTCATGCTGGTTGTCTGAAGGAAACACCTTACTGCTGTCACACCTCTGTACAGTCAGCAGTACGACTTCGCCTTCGGACCTTGGGTTTGTTGCTTTTAGTCTTACCGCTCTTCAACCGACCTGTCTGACATGGTAGGACCTTGAGGAACAGTTGTTCCAGCCAGTATAGCTCGGTTGCTTCATCACGATAGGCAAGCCCGACCACCACGTCAAGGTAGCAACAACGGTCGAGCCAGTCGCTCATGCTACAAATGATCTTTATAATAGCAACAAGTGCCATATATTTTGTCTACCACGGGGATCAAACCACTTGGTCAAGAGTGTGGCATGTTACATAGGGATTTAGTGCAATATTAACAACGTCCTATGGGCTCCTAAGAACCAACTATAAAAGCTTGAATATTTTGTCCAAAGGAGCTACAGTTGATGTACCAAGTTAACTGACGTCTCAAGTGTATTGAAAAGTTACGATGTGTAGTGTCCTATTTAGTGAAAACAAGAAATCGTTAAAAGTGGTGAGATAATAATATGAAAAACCTCTGGGCAACGCTAAAATTGCTTTGAGAATGTACACCTACTATCAGGGACTAAACGAGGGTAATGAAGCAGTGTGTAGATTTTAATTGTGATTTACAGTTGATGGTTAGGGTTGAGAATCCCATTTAAGGTTTTCACCACGAACTGACATCAGGAAAAATAATGACCCAAGCTGCCAATTTTGGGGAAGCCGCTATAGTAAATTTTCGGGAAATGAGATTAAACCCCTAAATTTCCCCAAACGTTGGTGAAATTTTTCCGAAATAGTCTGACTTACACTTGACTTAGTAATTCCACCTTCTTTTATTAGTCTGTAGAGCTGTCTTTTGTTCCCTATAGCCACTGCCCTTTCCATCTCTTTTGCTTTCGTTGCTCACCACTGCTCACGGTCGTTCCTTAGACTTTTGCTTAACTCAGATCTGATTTGTTTACGCTCTTCATCATGTTCAGAACATGATGGGATGAGTTTGCGAGAATCCATCAGTGTGATAGACTTTGAAGAAATCCACTGGTTCTTTGAAACTCTGTGGTTTAAGTCACTAATAGATTTCATTGCTGTTTCCACAGCTGTTTGTATATCGTTCCAAGCAACATCTGGGTCAGCCTCGTTTTCAGAACTACCTAAGTGTGACCTCAGTTGTTCCTGGAACCTACTTTTGGTTTTCTCGCTACTCAATTCAGTTCTAATGGGTCTTTTTACTGTGGCTTTTCTGCGTCCAGTGAGGCGCAAGCAGATGCGTGCCCGTAACAGGGCATGGTCGGAGTCCAAGCAGGTACTCCAGAATGAGCGACAATCTTCTACCGACCCTCTCCAACGATGACTGATGTCAGTATGGTCTATTTGAGTCCATCGTTGGTTTGGTGTAGGGGGTCGCCAGGTTAAACAATGTCTCTCCTTATGCTTAAAATTTGTGTTTGCTAAAAATAAACGATTGTCTGAGTATAGTTGCAGCACACGATCACCATTATCTGTTCGCTGAACCGGAATACTAAAATATCCACCTAAATGCCTTTCTTTTTGGTTTAAACTACCTATCTGGGCATTAAAGTCACCTGCTGCTATGAATACAGTGGTCTTGAGTGCTGTCAGAGGTATGAGGACGGTTATCACTCCCCGGTTGCCCACACCGTGGAAGGCTTCTTCTGGAGGTACCTGGGAAGGAAATTGGATTAGGGGTGGTCTTAGTAACCTGAGAGAGTGACCGCAGTGCCCAAGGGACAACTGCTTGAGGTCGGTCACACACGACCTTTTCATGGGTAATTTTTGTGTTAGCTCCGTACTTGTTGAGACCTTACCGCCGGAGACGGATATCCGTGGGATAAGGCGAGGTGTGCATTTTTAGGGTCGACTTTTTCTAACCCCACCCCTTCTTGTGGGAAGACAGCGTCGCTGTCATGCTTGTTGTCTGACGAAAACACCTTTCTGCTGTCACACCTCTGTACCGTCAGCAGTACGACTTCGCCTTCGGACCTTGGTTTTGTTGCTTTTTGTCTTACCGCTCTTCAACCAACCTGTCTGACATGGTAGGACCTTGAGGAACGGTTGTTCCAGGCAGTATAGCTCGGTTGCTTCATCACGATAGGCAAGTCCGACCACCACGTCAAGGTAGCAACAACAGTCGGGTCTGAAATATCTCATAAGCGGTTGTGTGTGATTGGACTCATGCAGTTGTATCTTCGGCTTTTTGATCAGGCTTTTAGGTCGCTAAGACCACTACTAATCTAGTCCATCATCCACATTCTTCACAAAGTGCTTTCCTATAGTGTGTGGAACTGGCAAGTGACAAATATCCTCCTACTTCTAACAGGACACAAGACCACCATTTTGGAGGTCGAGTCTCTTTAAAGGAAAGTTGGCAGAAAAGATAACCGAGATAGGTAATAGTAGACGACCTTAAGTGAACGTTAAACTTGTGATCGAGAGTTTCCTTGGCAGTTTGACATTGAGTAGAGTACCAAAGGAGTATATCAACCTTGTACAGGTTGTTTGCTTACAAGATTCTGATTGAGTTAGAGCTTATGGTTAGCTGTCATAAGAATTGACAACCTTAGGCGGTGTTCTTCAAGACTCTCCATTTTCTGCCTTTTCATTTAATCTCGTCATGGACATCCTTTTAGAAATAAGCATCGGACATCAGCTGTTAAGGCAGTGAATATTGATCAACCGAAGTAGTTGAAATATGTATTACGTACTCACAACTACTGCCTACCTTGGGGTGCGATGTTGCTTAGTTCAGAAGCCGGTTGGATGAAAATTTGAGGTAGTCCATGAAATCATTAACTGCCTAACAGCCAAGTAGGTTGGTGTTCACACGTTTATTGTAATCAATAGCTAGAGATTTTCGGTGACAGGGATCAAAATCATCCTGAGCGACGCAAATGCATTCACTATTTATCTTCTCTTAGCTCCTGAACTCCGAAATCTTATTCCATCTTTTCCTACTACTACTACAATGGGATATCTCATGGTAATTTTACCTCACCGCTAATTTTGTGCCACAACTAGAACCAACGCACATATATATACTAGATTTTACGTTGATAATAACTGACTGACTTTATCAAATAAATTATTTATATTATTACTAAGTGTTTATCAAATGTCTTGTCAATTTTGGAAGTTTAGTTATATAAATTGTGGTCGTCTGATTTATTAATCTTGTAGTTACTTGATTGGAATTTCTAGCCTCTTCGAGAAGTACGCTTGAAGGATTGATTTAGTAAAGATGGAAACCGTATGTTCAGAATATTCTACTGATAGCGTTTTCTAACTTACATTTTAGTATGATGTGAAATCAAGCCAGTGTCATGTTGGGATTTTGTTCTGCAGTGAATGCAACAACATGTTGTATCCTAAAGAGGATAAGCGTACAAAAACATTATACTACGCATGTCGTAACTGTGATTATTCCCAGGAAGCAGACAATCCCTGTGTTTATATCAACAAACTCGAACAGGAAGTTGAGTAAGTATCCATACCACTGTTTTGAGTCGTTTTTATTTATTTGTTCTACTTACTAGCATTCTTATGATATGATATTTTACTCACACATATCTTGTTAAAGTAGTTTCAATGTATTTAGAAGAGAAGAAATCGCATCAGATGACTACTATTTTGACAGTGACGGGATTCCAGTGTGAATATAACCAATGCTTAGTGCAATTCCGAGACGAATCACATTATTTGTTTAACTTGTTCGTCTCTGCATTCTATTTTGCATCAACTGATGGAGTCTCAAGTTAATTAGTTTCACAACTTCAGAGACTCCACCTGACTGACCATACCGCCCCATTATCTGTTAACTTCACACAATCATGTCATACCGCCTCACTATATCATATATCAACACTTTTCATCCAATAATGATGGTTTGGAAAATACCAAAGAGATTGTTAGTGAAATATCGGTCACTCAAAAATCATGGTCTCTTTAATGTCAAAACATAAAAGTAGTGTAACTCAGGATTCCTTACACTACTATGTTGTTGATGAATGCAAAGTTTTGTCTTGATGGTTTCAAAGGTGTCAAAGATCGACTTTCGATATACGTAGAACAATTTATTTATTTAAGCACATAAACATTGGCACAAAGAGGCACGAAATAGATATGCTCCACATAAACCATTGGATTTGTGTTAGACCTGGGATACTGCCCGGGTACCCAAACCGAAACAGGGGACCTTCGACCTGTAGGTCTAATCAACTAGGTAGTGGAGCAACGTCAGGAGATGCAATCCCATGGTAGCCGGTCACCAATAATATGTTCATACGCCATTTGTTCCTTCAGGTTCCTGGAGCCAGCCCATGTGCACCATTGGTTTGAAATCAGGGTTTTCCAACTTCCCTAGGTGGACTGTGTGTTCACCAACCCAATTAAAGCGCTGGATATTCGCTTTTTTTCCTCTCAATTTTGTAAACAACACCCTCCTTCGCGAGAAGGCAGTGAGTAGGACTTCTCTGGCAGAGGCTATAGACACGTGGCCATGTGAGAGCATTTCGAGGGGGAGAGCTGACTCTGCCCACTCGCCACCATATCAGGGCGTTTGAGGGCATGCAGGACAATCTTCTTTACTGTTCTGCCACTAGCCACATCCAAGTCCAGAAATGTTTTCACAGTTCACAAAATGTTTGCCTCAAGTGATGGGTGGAGGAACCGGTTGCTATCAGATGAAGATGGAATGGGGGAATCGTACCTTATCCTACTTGTTGCATGACAGAATGGATAAAGGTGGAAGTAAGAAGCACAGTAGAAAAAACGTTAGTATATTTATGGTTTTCGCATGAGAAGATCATATAGTGTTCTCCAAGTATCGACTAGTGCTGATTGGATAGGAATTAGCCGGTCAGCGTTCGCCAAAGCAATCGTGCACTGAGCATGATTTCATACAATTTATGTTCTGCTAACAGGGTAGTTAGACCAGCGGAGGTATACTCACTAGCAGTTTGATAGTCTTGTCAGTGTAAAATTGTATTATGAAATGTACAACTTCAAATTATAAACTTTTCCTGTTAATTTATTCATGGAATATTTTTTTAAATAAAATAGTATTTCTTTTATCCATCTAAAGTGAATTGGCTTTAATTGTACCGGATGTTGTTCATGATCCAACACTGCCTCGAACAGAAGATCATATATGTCGTCGATGCGGTAAACAAGAAGCTGTATTTTTTCAATCACAGACATTGAAAGCGGAAGAAAATATGCGTTTGTATTATGTTTGTACCAACGTTGAATGTTTACATAAATGGACTGAATAGATTATATATATATGCTATGAAAGGAAGTCCTGAATAAGAACTAAACTTGTAAAGAACGTATTACAAAAGTTTTGAATTTGAGTCATTTACATAAAATTTTATTTATGTTCTTATAGATGGTCACCTACCTAACACGGGAGATTCTCAATTTATTGGCGTATTTTGATATGATGATGAAGAGAACCAATTGTTTTAAGCACAGTTGGCTCTTAAATCGATCGTTATCTCTAACCACCTCTTTACATCTCGACATAATGCAAGTGATGTAGCGTCACCTAGACTAATTAGCCACATTTCAAATTTGCCGATAGGATTTGATTAACACGAAGAAGGACTTGAAATACATGGCATTAGTCACTACCTGATGATCATTCAATTGTAAAAATCGTGTTATCGTTGAGAAAACTGTACGCATGAAGTAGTTTATGCGTCATTGGTGTGTTTTTTATTCTAACATTAAACTCTTAACATGTTCATCAATTTGAAATTAAACCGATGCCAGGACTGATCTTTTGGTGTATAAGATGAAAGAAGATGGTAGTGGGCTTTCGGTGGTACCAACATGGTTTGTGTAGTGTAGGTTCTAGGTAATCTACTTGACATAAGCGTAGGATACTTACCAACCACTAACAGTTATCCTCAACACAAATTTCAAGTGGAATCTTATAACAATTACAATTGTATTCTTATATCTTTTCCCCAATGATGAGTTTCTCACTCTCTTTAATATTGAAGGCTTTTCAGACAACCAGCATGACAGCGACACTTCCTTCCCACAAGGAGGGGCGCGGTTAGAAAAGGACGACCCTAAAGATGCACACCTCGCCTTATCCCACGGATATCCGTCTCCGGCGGTAAGGTCTCAACAAGTACGGAGCTAACACAAAAATTACCCATGAAAAGGTCGTGTGTGACCGACCTCAAGCAGTTGTCCCTTGGGCACTGCGGTCACTCTCTCAGGTTACTAAGACCACCCCTAATCCAATTTCCTTCCCAGGTACCTCCAGAAGAAGCCTTCCACGGTGTGGGCAACCGGGGAGTGATAACCGTCCTCATACCTCTGACAGCACTCAAGACCACTGTATTCATAGCAGCAGGTGACTTTAATGCCCAGATAGGTAGTTTAAACCAAAAAGAAAGGCATTTAGGTGGATATTTTAGTATTCCGGTTCAGCGAACAGATAATGGTGATCGTGTGCTGCAACTATACTCAGACAATCGTTTATTTTTAGCAAACACAAATTTTAAGCATAAGGAGAGACATTGTTTAACCTGGCGACCCCCTACACCAAACCAACGATGGACTCAAATAGACCATACTGACATCAGTCATCGTTGGAGAGGGTCGGTAGAAGATTGTCGCTCATTCTGGAGTACCTGCTTGGACTCCGACCATGCCCTGTTACGGGCACGCATCTGCTTGCGCCTCACTGGACGCAGAAAAGCCACAGTAAAAAGACCCATTAGAACTGAATTGAGTAGCGAGAAAACCAAAAGTAGGTTCCAGGAACAACTGAGGTCACACTTAGGTAGTTCTGAAAACGAGGCTGACCCAGATGTTGCTTGGAACGATATACAAACAGCTGTGGAAACAGCAATGAAATCTATTAGTGACTTAAACCACAGAGTTTCAAAGAACCAGTGGATTTCTTCAAAGTCTATCACACTGATGGATTCTCGCAAACTCATCCCATCATGTTCTGAACATGATGAAGAGCGTAAACAAATCAGATCTGAGTTAAGCAAAAGTCTAAGGAACGACCGTGAGCAGTGGTGAGCAACGAAAGCAAAAGAGATGGAAAGGGCAGTGGCTATAGGGAACAAAAGACAGCTCTACAGACTAATAAAAGAAGGTGGAATTACTAAGTCAAGTGTAAGTCAGACTATTTCGGAAAAAGACGATACTCTAATCTGCTCCCAGTTCAGACGTTTAGAACGATGGGCGGAACATTTTAAAGAACAGTTCAGCTGGCCTTTAGCTATTCTGCAACTACCCTTTATTCCCAGACAATGTGAATGGAACATTGAAGTAGGTCCCCCAACCCTAGCTGAAGTCCAAAAGGCTATAGTTAATCTGAAACGAGGAAGCGCAGCTGGTCCAGATGGATTGGCTCCAGATAATTTTAAGGATGGTGGTCCAATTTTAGCGATTAGATTGACTAATATTTTAGCTAAAATCTGAAAGTTAGATGTTATCCCATCTAACTGGTCGCAATCACTTATCGTCCCAGTATATAAAAGAGGGTCAAAATCACCCTGTGACAACCACAGAGTGATTACTTTAACTAATATAGTATCTAAAATACTAGCCTCGATAATTATCAGGCGCCTAACTAAGACTCGTGGACTGCAAACACGAGAGAACCAAGCTGGCTTTAGACCTGGTCGTGGCTGCATCGACCACATATTCACCGTTCTTCAGGTCCTATAACATAAACATACTTACCGGCGTCCAACAATGGTGGTCTTTCTTGACTTAAAAGCAGCATTTGACTCGGTAGACTGCAAGATTCTGAGGCAGTGCCTGTCATTGAAAGGCGTACCCCAGAGGTACATAAACCTTGTAAAGGCTCTTTACTCGAGCACTACTAGTCGAGTCTGAGCTGATGGCGAATTGTCATCTACTTTTGCAACCTCAAGTAATGTCCGTCAATGCTGTCCACTTTCTCCATTTCTGTTTAACTTCATCATAGACCTACTGATGGAAATAACATTGTCGTCGACTGAATTCTCGGGTATTGATCTCCTACCAGGAGGTCCACTTATCGACTTAGAATACGCAGATGATGTATTCCTGTTTGGTGAAGACGCTGACAAAATGCAGAGTCATTTGGTAGCACTAAGCAACAATGGCGGAATGTTTGGAATGCGTTTCTCTCCCTCTAAACGCAAACTGCTATTTCAGGACTGGCCTGCGTCAACACTTGAACTAAGGATAGGGAGTGAAGTAGTCGAACGCGTTGACAACTTCACTTATCTTGGAAGTCTGATCAGCGCTAATGGGCTGGTATCAGACGAAATCTCAGCACGGATTCGAAAAGCTCGCTTGGCTTTTGCCAACTTACGTCACCTTTGGCGAATGCGAGATATCTGTCTATCAATAAAAGGATGAGTATACTGCGCGGCAGTCCGTTCTGTTTTACTTTACGGCAGCGAAACATGGCCATTAAGAGTAGAAGACACCCGTAAGCTACTAGTATTTGACCACAGATGCCTTAGAAATATTGCTGGCATCTGCTGGGATCACCGGGTAAGTAATAGTGAGGTTAGACGCAGGGTATTAGGTAATGATGGTAAATTAGTTGGTGAGGTTGTGAATCTTCATCGACTTAGATGGTTGGGCCACGTGTTGCGTATGCCTGAACACCGATTACCAATGCTAACCGGTGTTGGGGATGGTTGGAAAAAGGTTAGGGGCGGCCAAACCAAAACGTGGTGTCAATGCTTGAAGATAATAACTTCTAGTCTGAGCCATGTTGGTAGATGCAGAGTACTTGGTTGGGGACCGCGTGACTATCGTAACCAAGGGTTGGAGACTCCTGGTGACATGGCTCAAAATCGATCACACCGTCGTAGGTTTATACACTCCCTGTCTTCCCTTAAACTAAGAGATTAAAATCACTTCATATCTTTCTTTCTACGAACTAATTCTTTCTTCCTGTAATACACTTTTATATGCAATCTTTCTTCTATATATTACCCACATTGAAGTAAACACGTCTATGAATCCAGTGTTCATTTTGCTGTGATAATGCGGTATGGCAACTTGGACCGATGCATATATGTACCTGGTCCTACGTTGTAGCTGAGTGACTGACTGAATGCTTTTCATCGTAACACACGACAATAGTTACAAAGTAATATAAACTATTTACACAGCACTCTTTTGAAAGAAAATTAATCAATCAATTTTGATGTTTTCTAGAATTGTGATGTACTTGGAAAAGAGAGAAAATATCAGTTATTGGACGTTTTATTCCATTATAAACATCGTAGTACTAGTATATAATTTTATTTTGAGATAATCTTGGTCACATAAAGGTGTTTCCTAAAAACAATATTAGAACTTAACACGTTAATGATGGATAAGATACTAGTGTTTACCGTAAACAAGTAAGAATTCAGAAACTTAAATGTGCAAGTTTACGGTTGCATATTCGTATGCCTATCTAACTCTTAAATGCCCCTAAGTGACCTGGTACGGCCGAGAGTAGGGAGAATCAGTTCTTTTTCTCGAAATGCTCTCAAGTGGCCACGTGCATACAACCACTATCAGAGGAGTCTTACACACTGCCTTCTCGTGTTAGGGATATTGTTTTCGAAATTTAGAAGAGATAAAGCGAATGTCTGTCGCTTTAATTAAGTTGGTGAATACTTCGATTCCATTTAGGAGGGTTGGAAAACCGTGAGTCCAAGAATAGCATTAGACTTAATAGAATAATTTTTAGGATATTTTACTGAATATCCCAACAATATTTCAGACTGATAACGGAAAAAAATTACAATGACTTAGATTATCAGCAATAACTACATAGATGTATTTATGCCAGCACAATTATAAGGTCATTTGAAGATAGAATTAAAAACAGGCGAGTGGATAAGGCAGTAATTAAGCGATGTTTGGAAATATATAAGATAAATCGTGTGATAATTAAAGAAGTCGCAAAGAGTATACGTAAGATTCAAACCAACTGATGACATATTTATCAGTTGGTAATTGTTTAGGACTAGAAATTAGCCAGATGGATTCCCTAAAAACCAGACAGGATTTGAAGGGCTTACTTAAGTTTTGAGAGTTGAGTGGCTGAAAAAGATCGGTGACGAGATCGTTTTGAAGTATATAACGTAAGAATTGGTTTGGATAAAACCTCATAACAGAACACACTGATAGAATAATAATAACAATTTTGAAACCTGGACTATTTACTTCATGGTTCTCAGATTTTACTATGTGATTCTATGATTTTGTATTCAATTACATTCAGTTGTCCCCACTGGTGTTATAGTTCAGTACAGTTGTACTTCTATTTACAAGATTTCATCACTAACAATCTAATGCGACTTACAAGTCTAAACTAATGCATGGGGAATTTCCATAGACGGAAATGATTTCCATTTAACCTAATGAGAACACGTACCACTTTACAGGTCGAGAAGAGATTCGATTCTTGAAGTTGGTGTTTTCTAAATTTGATTAAGACTTGTGATATTAAATGCATGAATTCAACTGAATAAACACGTAAGTGGAATGAACATGGAGTCGTTCAATGAATGCACATAGATAACAGTTTAGTCGTTCGTCTAAAATAATTCATCTTTTAGTCACTTTGTTAATCTGGATAAACGTCTTGTAACGATAATACGCCTAACAAAGACATTTATTCAGTAAAGAGTTTAGTTAGAGTTCGCAACGGTTTATTTATAATATAAAATGAATGAAAAGATAATATGAATATGGAACGTTTCTCAGAAGTATTCAGTATACATTTGTAATGACTTCAC